AACCTAACTTCTCACCTTCTTTTTATTTTTTTTTTTCAACCCAGTTGAGAATTCAACTCCTCAAAATTTGACTTCTCAATGAAATTTATTTTTATTTAATTTTTGTTTTAAAGTTAAAATTAATTAAATTAAATATGTTTAAAAGTTAATTAAGGTAAAATTATAAAGTGTAATGGTCATGCACTAATAATGTAAAATAGTTTTATATTGTTAACTAATCATATATCATTGTTGATATGAGTTTTTACTTGTTTATTTTAGAAGTCAATAACCTAACATTAAGGATAATTTATCATTTCGGACTAGTACTAAAACTATGAATTTTATAGGACTTATTAACTACCTAATTGTATCACTATACATTATGGCTTGGAGAAAACCTTTGTCTTTTGTTGTTGGAGTACACAAAACCTTGCCTAAGGTTTGATATTTGGTATGAGCATCAAACCTTGAAAGATAAGGATGAATTAAAGGAAAAAGTTCGTGTTTGAGAAGGATGCAAAGGTTGCAAGTATGGAGTAAGTTGGTCATTTGGGTGTTTTGTGACTAAGTGTTTTGGACTAAATGCTTGGCTTAAGAGTGGGCTATCATTGTTCCTTGGTTGGGCTAATTTTTCCTGGTAGGGTTTGACCTTTAGGACCCTTTTTGGACTTGAGGGAGGTTTCTAGAAGGGGTGGTTGCAGGAGTACTAGTAATTGAGTCCCCAGGAGTGGGGTTCCAAGTAGCTGAGTTCCTGGCACCGTGAGAACCGTGAGTAGCAACAACAATTGGGACACTCTTACAATCAAAGTTGAAATTGTGAGCCATGAATTCAACAATAACAAAAGGCACAAGTTAGTAACAATATTAAAAAAAACTAAGCACATGCACAACCAAAGACCTAACACCTACTCTCAAGTTTTTCTAAAGTGTTTGGCAAGATGGAGATCTTTAATATCTCTTTTATTTTCAACAACAGGGGAGACTCTTAATTATTTCTAAGTTTTTCTAATCTCGAGAACTCATGGTATCTGGTTCCCAAACCTTATACTTGAGTGGCTTCTTAATCCAATAGAAAGGAAACTTCAAAGCTATGTTCTCATCATCCGCAAGAATCGGATCCATGAAAAATGTGCCCCCTTCACTATTGGAAAAATTTTAAAGAATCCATCTTTAAAGTTTTTTCAAGGAGGTGGTGTAGGGTTTGAGTAGAACTCCATGAGCATGGTTGATTAAAGGATAGCCATCCAAATACGGTACTTGCCCTAGTTGTGCAAAAGTGTAAGAAAATTACAGGGGTGAGCTCTACATCTAAAGACATGTAACCAAATTGAAGCGCTTGTAGAAGTACCCAACTGTTAGGATGAAGTTGTGATGGGGCTATGTTGATAATTGACAACACCCCGACTATGAAGGTGTCTAAGGGGAGGTGGACGTTCAAGCGTTTTAAATGGCATTCTTACATGAAGAAGAAGCATGCTTCATCGATGGTAGCTTCTCAACACACACACCTTTTCTTCCTCAAAGGGTCTTTGAACCTCTATAAGGTCTTCCTTTCCAAAATCCACAATATTAGTACGATGGAGGAAGTGGATCAGCAAAGCCTCATCTGTAAACTTGGAGGAATATTCGAAGACTTTATCCAAAACCTAGTCTAATTATTCCTTCATGTCGATGTCAAACCCAACTCTTGAGTTGGGGATCAACATAAGATCTAGGTTATCAACTAGAGGAGTCACCCCGCTTAAACCAATTGCTATGTTCTTGGCCTGATCATCATCACCCACTTAGTGAACCTCGACTTCTCGGGGTATCTCAAATGTTAGTTGGGGGAGGTTCTACTCTAAGGGGGACTATCATAGCACTAGGAGTGCTAGTGGAGGAGGAAGAATGAGAGTTGTGTGAAAAAGAGTTTTCGGAGGAGGAAGATGAAGAAGAAGAATAATTGGAAATAATGTTAACTTTCATCCTTCCTAGGAATGGAGACTCTATGTTATTGTTGGAACTCATAAAAAGAAAAGAGGAAAGGTGTACCTAGTTAATACTCGACTTTTGGAAATTTTAGGAAGGCTAGTTCTTAGGGTATTCAAAAGCAGAGGTTACATGTGAATCCTTCTAAGGACTAAGAGACCTTATTTATAGATACAGAGGGCTTTAAGAGACGAAGCATCATGTCTCTTTGAACCATAAGATCCCTTTAAGATCAATGGTGGAGATGGACGCGACACTTCATCATCCCAAGATATTTCACACCTATGTGATCATAGAGCTTCTGACATGCCATCATTACACTTGACGCCTAACGTATCCAGAGGGAAACAATTTCAAATTTTAGAGTTGGGAAAAAAATCATTTTCAACTGATAACGCATTGAACTCTTCTCCCAAGAGTTGAAGACATGGGAGGCTAATGTACTGGATAGGTCTCGGATTCCCATATTGAACATTTATCGATTCTTAGCCTTACATCATGGATACATCAACTAAATGACAAGGATTCGATAGTGCTCACCTAGCCCAAATGTAGTATTCCCATATGATGAGTAATTCTCAACCTACCAGACACACTCCTATAAGATCAAGTCTTGTAGAAAGTAACGTTTGAGTCTTACATAACAATAAAAGGTCTTAAATGCACTTAAATGATAAGATCTTTAATGGTAATATTTTCTCATTTATAAATACTTGCATTTCACCTCTATAAGGTACATTTTGACATTGAAAAATATACTCAAACACTTTGAACACCCCCTAACTTAAGCATCATAGTCATTTTTGTAGGTAAAACCACTATTCTCAATCTTAAAGGCCAAGGACCAAAGACGGGGGACTTTGAATTGAAAGCTTTGGAGGAATACTTCTCTACAAGTATAAGAGTAACAAGAAAAGTTGGGGTTAAAATTATGAATTTCATTTGCTTCGTCTTCATTTTCAAAGAAAATATTAAAAATGACATTTTTATTTTCTTTCAATTGTGCACTTCTTAAAAAATTTAGCCCAACATGTTTCTATATTATTTTATATTTATTTAAGAATAAAAATAGAAAATAATAAATCAAACAATCCTTCGTATTTTCATTTTTTTTATTTTCACTTTTGAAATACCTTATAAGGTGACAAATTTATAATTAAATGCTAATATTCCATAATGTCAGAGGAAAATTTACTTTGATAAGTTTCTGTTGACTTTTAGTTTGACAAGTAAGGTTTTGGGTCATATTAGACACTACCGAATTTCAACTAACCATTAATGAACGGTGATACTTAATTTAAAGATTTTCAGTATGTCATTGGCTTTATGTTTAATACTCAAGGGTGACAAATCATATGCAATCATATTTAATCAAGTCAAGATATTAATCAAAGATTACACAAGTAAAAAAGAATAAGGATAGAGAAAGTGCAAAGATATTTATCCTAATTCAGCCACTCCACATGTGATATACATCCAATCCTTAATCAAACCTAATTAAGATTTATCCACTATCTTTATGTCAGAAGGCTTACAATCACACAACACACATGCAATCTACTTCTACATACAAGATATCACTTTTCTTGAACCCCAAGAAAATACTTCTTGCAATCACCCATTACAAGAATTCCCACACTTGAGAGACCTATTCAAGATTCACTACTTTTACACCTAAAAAGTAACGAACGAATTCACCTGGTATGCTAAACAAATCAGAATGGGAATTCAAGAGAAATCTTTATCTTTTCTTCAAGATAGTGATGATGATGATGAGATCTTAAAAAAAACTTTCACAAATTGTTTTACTTCTTGGTCTTTTTGAAACTTTCGCAAAGAAACACTACAAGAAGATCACATAGATTCAACATTCCACAAAGGTTTGCTCACTATATCACTTGGTTCAATTTTTGAATGAGAAAACTATTTTTATAAAGTTTTCATTCTCAGATTATTTATAGGAATAATCGATTATTTTTTTCTTCGTCATTCTAGAAATCATCCAAGAACAACTTAATCGATTATTTCTTAAGATAATCGATTATTCCAAAGAGGTGTATTATGGAATAATTGATTATTTCACCAGATAATCGATTATTACAGTAGAGCTTTTCAGGTTACTGAAAAATAGAGCAAATAATCGATTATTTTAAGTAAATAATCAATTATTTTGAGTAAATTCTCAAAATCTTGATTTCTTCATTCAGATTGCTTTTCAAATCACATTGTATTATCATCATACCATTTTTATTTTAGTTAGGATAAGATTAGTTACTTGCACAAAGCACAAACACTTAAACATGTATAAAGATAAAACACAAAGCAATACAAGTTATAAACTACTCTATTACAACATTATTTATCTTATACACATATTTGATCTTCATACTTCCCTTTTAGTAATCATCAAAACCTTTATAAGTTAGCTTCATCAGTTTCCTTAAGATATGAATCTTAACAAGACTAGGGACTTCAAATTGAAAGCTTTGGAGGAATACTTCTCGGTAAGTATAAGAGTAACAAGAAAATTTGAGGTTAAAATTATAAATTTTATTTGCTTCGTCTTTATTTTTAGATAAAATATTAAAAATGACATTTTTCTTTCTTTCAATTGTGCACTTATTCAATAATTTAGCCCAACATGTTTCTATATTATTTTATATTTCTTTAAAAATAAAAATAGAAAACAATAAACCAAACAATCCCTTGTGTTTTCATTTTTTAAATACCTTATAAGGTAACAAATTTATAATGAAATAGTGTTATTAATACTTTGGTAAACATACCCACTTAAGAAGATTTCATAATATTTAAATATATAATTTTTTTAATTAATTTCTGCCGTCTTTTCGTTCGACAAGGTATTGTGTCATATTAGACACTATCAAATTTTAGCTAACTAGTAATGAACGTTGATACTTGATTTGAGGAATTCCAACATTGACATTAACTTTATGTTCAATAGTCATTGAAATATCATCTCTTATCTACCATTTTTTTCATTAAAAAAAAAAAAATAAAAGCTAAAATAGAAAGTTAACAAAAGCCAATCCTCCCTCGCACTCCATTTCTCAGTTACGCCGAACCGAGCCCGGCCCGGCCCATTTTCCCTTTCCCTTCTGACAAATTGCACTTGGCACATTGCGGAAGTAACTTGGTCATGCCGCGGGAACCGAAGAGCCTTGGCGTCAAGATCCTCTGGTTTTGGACCTTTGGAACCGCTGCCAGTACCTTCTCTTCGCATCCTCTCTCCCTCTATTTTCCCAACACCCACTAATTCTATTAATTCCACGCTTTCCCCCCTTTTTTTTTGTGACAGTTCTAGTTACGAACGTGATGCGCTCCAGAATAAGGGACCTTGAAACCCTCGTGAATGCCGAACAACAGCAGCAACAACAACACGATGCCGCTGCCACTGATTCGCTTTTAGTGGATACAGTGAGGCTCCCATCCGATGAGCCTGTGGCTCCAAACAATAAAGATTGATCTGCGTTTGATTTTTCCTTTCCTTGGAGTTTGTGGCGCTGTTTGAACTCGCCGAGAGGATAAAGGGGCACGCAACGTGTTTGTTGAATGTCCTAGCTGAAAACTAAGGCCAATCACAATGGGGAAATTCGGTATGTGTTTTATTATAATAATATTTCTTATTCCGATTGACCTTGTTCTTGCGGAATGTAGATGCCATGTGTGTGTGGTGTGAGGCAATTATTATGCATGCATGTAGATGGTAACTAAGTGGGACTGAAATGTTTCACACACATTTTGTCTTATTGTGGATCTCTGTTTTAGTTACACTTTCGTTATACGAAAAATTTCGTTGACATTAGAGGGACGTGGGTGAAAATTCATTATGTGATATCAAGAAAAGAAAAAAAGAGATAGAAAGAGATGAAGAGTATGTAGCGGGTGCTTGCATTGTGTGGGATGTCCAGGAATCTAGAATCGACACTCTTAGTTATATTATCCACTTCAAAAGGTGTTTTGAAATACACGAGCTTGGTTTCGAGATGTTTTTCAATCATATAGGAATCTTATTTTCCGAACGAAACGTAAATAAATAGCTAAAAAGAAAAATATAAGTATGGGTGTACAAATGAACAAAGATTTTATGATCATTTAATCCTTAGCACCAATGTTTTAAAAATTAGAAAAATTGGTTAAAGTATTGGATCAGTCAATCAGATGTCAAATTGATAAGTTACTAATTAAATTACATAATTTGGTCTCTATTATTTTTTTTAAAAAAAGAATATGTATATCATATATATTTTATACACTTAAATTTTAATAAAATTGATAATATATCTTAAAGGTGTTTTTAAATAGACAAAAATGATTGGATTTTTATTTTTGCTTTGTACATATTAACTATATGAAATTTATATTTAAGATGATATCTAGAATTTTTTTTGCCACATATATAACAACTAAAATTATTGGATTAGTGATGATTTTTGTTTTCATGATATGCATATTAATATATAAATTTTATGTTTTAAATAATATATCATAATGATATGCACATATATAACAAACAAAAGCATTGGATTAGTCGCAATTGTACACTCCCTGTAACACAATTTATGAATATACTAATGGACGGGTAGGACAACTAATGATGGTCAATATGCACATAGCTTTTCAAAAATTTCTAAATCGGGTTGGGTTGATGATGTGTGACATGTTTGATTTGAAATCATGTGATAGATGTGATACGTGATATGTTTAAATATATTTTTAATTTTTCAAAATATAAGATAAATATATTTTTGGTATCTTAAATTTAAAATTATTATTTTAGTCCTTACAATTTTGAAAAATCTTATTTTAGTCTCTCAGGTCATCAATAACATATCTAAAAGTGATAGATTGAAATAATATTAACTACATCAACCAAATTTAATGTGATTATTTTTACTAACTGAGACACCATTAGATATATTTTATATGATAGAATTTGACAGATTCCTTAACAAAATTTAAGTATAAAAATTAAAATAAAATTTGTTTTTTTTTTTGAAATTATAGGGACTAAAATGATCAATTTTAAATTTAAGAGATTAAAAACATATTTAAGCTTACATGATATTATGAAATGTCAATGAAAAGGTTTTGTACTTGAATTTGATAATAGATAATAAAAATATGGAACTAATTGAAATAATTTTTAAAAAAAGACTTGAACAAAAAATACAAAAGACCAACTTATAAAGACAAAAAATATATTTATCTTTAAATAATGATTTTCTCTTTTTTTTTTTTTGGTTAATCATAGTATTGGTATGAAGCATTTACTATCAAAAGCAGTAACTTATCATTGTCAGAGATCGTAATATAGTTTATTCCATACTCAAGTCAAGATTCAATCTTGAATAATTTAGTTAAAAGACACAACAAATTGTCACTACTTGTGTTAATCAATGTTGATATAATGATTTTCTCTTTATCTATTGAAAAATAAATGCATTTTCTTTAACTTTTTAAAGCCTACCATGTTTTGAGACAATGACTACAATGGGTTAAGTTTACAAGTGGTCTATGGTGCACCACTATTATTAACTATTAGATTTATCTCACCGACATTGTCATATAGTAACATTTCGCCCCAAATTACACACTAGCATTGTTCCTATGCGACGCAACTTGGTACCTCTTCAATAAACAATGTTTTCTGTTCACACCATTGAATTTGAGAAATTGAGTCATCATCATTCTGATTCGATTATGTCCAACAAAGGCAACGAGCTTTTTCCTTTCCTTCTCAATTTTTCATGCAAATCTTACTCTTGAAGATGATAAAAATGAAAATGTAGCTAAGTGTGTGTGCATTTCAAAATCTCAAAAGCTAGAAATTTATAACATGATTTTAAGAGTTAAAGTTCCATGGTCATTATCATTGTGGCGCGTGAACACCAATGGCTTATGTGAAGCTTCACATACCAAAATATGTGATGCATTTCATTATACCCTTTCTCAGCATTGTTGATTGACTCACCACCGTGACTTTCTCAGCTTATGGATCAATCAGAGATCATAAAGAAATAAATTGTCGTCATGATCTTGCTTTTATCCAAAAGTCACAAAAACAACAATAAGGAGAGTAGGGGGAGAGAGTAAGGGAAAAAGGGCAAAAAATTAAGAAGAAATTTGTCGAGAGGGTTAGTGGCTATAAATGCTCATTGATTAGATAGGTATGAAAAATGAACCCGATCTCATGGATACTCGCTCAAATCTATCTTGACTTTGATGGGAAAAACTTGTGTTGACTAAGTTCAATTTTTTCCTGATTATTAAAGTTGAGAGTAGAGACGGAGATGTTAATACCTTTGGAAAATATATTAATAAAGCACAAATAAATAAATAATTAAATTTAGTGAGAAAGTCAATATCAACAATACAATGAATACTTCAAAAATAAAAATAGAGCAATTAGTAACAACCAATTAAATACAAAGAGTAAATTAAATTAAGAAATAAAAAAGGATTAAATTAGCCTAAGTTGAAGCATACAAAACGTTATCCTTAGAGAGAAAAATGCCTCAATTGCACTGGTAATTAGAATTTATAGTGCACTCCTCTCTCAACATACCTCGACCTATTAGATCATTCAAGTACAGTAAAAGATTCCCGAACTAAAGAACATTATTTCCAAAAATATTTAGTAGTAGAAATACTTTTTTAAGGTAGAAAGATGAGTGAAAATAGTGTATCCTTTTATTTTTCTTTCGGCACTAATATTCATAAAGATACACATCGTATTATTCTAAATGAAACAAATAAAAAGAATGTAGTCTCGCAACATAAATGTTGCTTACCTACGATAACCAGAATTTACTAACGTTTAAAAAAAAAACATTATGAGTCATAAAGTATATTGCTAAATCACCAATGAATAGCATTTGAAATCAATCAACACATTTATGCACCAGTTACTAAAACCAAAAGAGGAAAAAAAACATACTAGGTCAAATGCAATGAACTTGGACATAATAAAAAAGTTTGATTAAAATAAAAACAAAAAACAATTATATATTTAAATATTAAATTATAATATAAATTTCTAACATTCCCCAACTAATTTAAAATTTAAATATGGAAAATAATGAAATATGAGAGAAAGAACTTAAAACATTTTTAATGAAGCATGATATATTATACTTTTAGTATAAGTGTGGAGAAAAAATAGACACTAGTAAGGAGGTTGAATAGTGTATATAAAAAAAACTCGCACATTTGCAAGTATGTGAAGTAGTATTTGTCACAAACAAAGGGTTAGTAAGAGTAATCAATAAATACAAGAAGTTTTTATACTGATTTACCTCAACCACCGAAGTTACGTTCAGTTCTCAATCCAACTAGATTGAGTTTCACTAACTTTCAAAAAAGTTATAAGTATTCTTTTATTAAGACACTTCTAGTTCAACGCAAGTGTTCTTTGACTGACTTTTTCAAGTCATTACTTAAGTATTCTTTTTACAAATAAACCTCTCCAAGCTTAACCTCCAATATTCTTTTACAATCAAGCCTCTCCAGACTCTACCCTATAACAATGATTATGAAGATATTACAAGGTTGCAGTTGTTGTCTCTTTTAAACATGATTACAACTAACGTTCAAGTATAAGAAAACAATTAAAGAAGATATTTGTCCTTTGTTTAGAAAAATGGTAATAATAGGAAGCAAAGTCAGTGAGCAGTGAGGTTGTAGTCCTTTTCCTATGCCTTTTCCATGAAATTCAGGATATTTGTCCTTTGTTTTGATACTCTACATGCTTTTATACACTTTTAATAGAATGTGAGTTTCAAGACAATGACTTTTGATCTATTAAGGTATAAAACATTTATTTAAAAATTCTAAAGTGTCAATCATAAAAAATAATGGACGTTAAGAACAATTGTATGCTTCATCTTATTTGCTTAGTCTTACAAACGCTACTTCGTCTTACAAAGTCTGAAATAGTGACTTTTCGAAAACGTTTTCTTACCAAAATATGTAGTGTTTGTATTGAGGGATCTAAGATCTGTTGAGATGATGGAGATTGTTAGAGATGATGGAACATCTTGAAGACTCCTGAAGATTGTTTTAGTTTTGATGATGTATTATATAGATGTTGCTTAAGCCAATGCAAAAGGATATTGTATTGATTGAAATACATGTAGGCATGTTTGTGTGTTTGTTTATGTTTGATGATGATGATGAATGCTTAATTCAGGAACTAATCAAGTTTTTTAAGAAACCAAGAATTTGATTTTTTAGTATTTCCATGTATAAACATAAAGTAATAGATTATCATGAAAATGTAATTTACTACTGTTCTTACCGGAGATCGGTGGTAGGGACGATCTACTGGGTAAAATTGGTGAGCCTCCTTCATGGGTACGTCTCGTGTTCCAAGATGGGGGTGGTACCTGCAAAAGAGACTCCGATGCTAAAGTTAGGGTTTGCGTGAGTATATGTCTCGTATAAGTAATGCACATACCTTGGTGTGAATTAGGGTTCTTCTGGGCCTTGGGCCCGAGATCTGTTATGACCTATTTGAATGACGAGCTGACGTCACACAGCGCGTGTCCGAGGTCGTCTTGCGCTGTGAGGCCGAGCTTGGAGCTCGGCTTCGCAGTACGGATAGTACACGAGCCCCCCGAGCTCTGAAGATCGTAGGTCGAGGAGTTAAGACCGAGCTCGTCAAGTGGCCGTGACCCTTCGCGTACGCTTATCTGTCAATATGCCATGTGTCGTAACCGTCGCCTTGTTCTTGGAAACGTGTAGGCGGCGCGTTAATGGGAACTGACGGTTATGTAATGATGGCTGTGTTTGTCGTGATGGGCT